ATTTATACTGTTTGCTATTTGACGAAAAAATTGATTTAGAGAAATGGAAACTGCTCACATGCTTTTGTTGATCTTGTCTGCGAACTGCATGTATATGATAGTATCAACAGATGCAGACCACCAGAACCAAGATCCAAATAACACATGCAATATAACTAGTAACAATTATCTCATTCCACAAAAGATAGACAACAAGTCCTAAAGAAAATGCAAGACAATTCCATCTACATATGACAAAATCCATGAACTGAAAAATTAACACAATGCACAAGCCACTGAAAACATCATCACTTTTCAAACTCAACAGAGACAGTAAGCAAAAGAAGAAACCAAATTGATACAAAGAACCAACAAAAACCCACAAATATCAATAACAAAAGACCTCACTCCAAAACTCCCCATCACTCATTTAGCACTTATTAACACCATCTTTGCAATCTTTCGTCAAGTCATAAAACGTCTCCACCTTCTTCTTCGCCCTGTACAGAACCTCCGTGTCCACAGCCACCCTCATGTACCCATCAAACTCCACAGGCTGCCCCCCATTCAACAACCTCGTCTCGTTATACCACTCGCTCGTGTTCCCCCACAAATACCTGTAATCGTCGAGCAAGTGAACCTTGTAGTGCGACCTCAACTTATCAAAGTAGTTGTAAAATGGCTCGTTAGTAGCCACATACAAATTCCTCCAAGGCGCGATTTCACCCTGAAGTTTCGCAACTATGGCATCGGGTGAAGTGTCCCTGTCCAAATTGGGCCACATCTTCTTATCAAGGGCTTTCTCTCCACGCACGACATGAACCGCATCAAAATCCCAATCCATGCTCCCACTAATGGCAGACACAATATTCATCAACCTCTTAGATTTCCAAAGGGCCTGCCATGGCCGCTCAATGTACTTAGCCGCGGGCCCTTCACACACCCTGAACCAATAATTTTCGGGCTCGGGCCCCTGAAACTGCCTCCACAGGATCGTGCTCTTTTCTTTCTTCAGCTGCATTGGCGTGACCTTATAGCTCCCCACCTTCTTAACCGGTATTTTCGTTTTGTGATTCTTGTCCCACTTCTTCCAATCCCTCATGAACTCGCCTTCCTCGACTATCGAGGCCGTTTCTTTCAGGTGCTCGAAATCGAAATAGAATCGGAAATCCTTCCCTTCCTCGTCCTTTCTGCTGCTCGTGTAGGCCGAGGCCAGGCACAAGCTCAGATCCATCACGAGCGTTCGATTCAGATAACGGGCCTCTCCCAGAGCACACAGAAAGCTCCAGATATATTGGTTCATGTTCTTGCAGTAGTCTCCGCCCCTCGAGTAGTACAAATACTTGCCATTTCTGAAAAGAGGGCCTAGGATTGGGATAGTGTCGTTGATCTCGTTGTCCTTTACAGCCAGAGGAGGGGCAGAGGCAGATCTGGCCCGCTGCCTGCGGGCGTTCAGGCCCGAGTGCCAGCGGCCTGGGCGGACTACCTTATACTGGCACTCATCTGTGAACCCTATCTTAAACCTCCGGAAATCCCTGTACCTTCTCCAGGACTTCTCCTTCTTGTTCCGGAACCTCCAGGCTACGTCGCACTCGTCGGGCCTCGACCCGTTCACGGGAAGCCCGTAATCGAGGAATGTGATGGCCCGGAAGGCCCGAAGGTTGAACCGCTTGATTGCGAGCAGGACAGCTGGGTCCAAGCAGTTGACGGCGGACACGTCCTCGCAGCTTAACTTCTGGATGGTTGCGTTGTTATTCGGGGTTTCGTCTTCGGATTTCTGGATCGTGGGCTCGGGAACCGGCAGCAGTGGCGGCGGCGCGGGGGAGGAGGCGATGTCCTCGCCGGTTTTGAGGACAGATGTGTCGGTCTGGAAAGTGGCGTTCTCGACTTGGGTGAAGGCCTTAGTGAGGGCACGGGCGGACTCCCACGGGTCAGGGGGCTGGTAGGTGATGGCGATCACGGTGAAGATGAGGACGGAGAAGACGAAAAGTGAGAAACAGACATTGCTTATCAGCTTTATCGCGTTTTGGCCGATGGGATCCGTCGGATCGAGCTCTTTCATTTGATCGGACGAATCAGGTCCTCAACGAGATTAACTCGGAGATGTGCCCTAGAATTGTCGAATCGAATCAGATTTGGGATGATGAAATTGAATCTGAAATTAAGCTCTCAACAAGTGATCTGAAAAGTGTGATTCTTTAATCACTCAGAGTGAGCTAACAGGAAATCAAGCAAGTGATATGTTAAATGTAGCGGAGTTGCAGATGCGGAGAGAGAGAGAGTTGCAGAAATGTTGGTGAAGATATCTTCAAGGTGAATTTTTGGTCACTTGATTACTTTGAAGGAACGGAAATAAAAAGGATTTAAGATGTATTCATTTTATTTGGTTTTGCTGCAAAAGCATGAACCATGGCATTCATCCATAATTATTCATAAATGATATATTAACACGTGTCCTACAATAAATACATATTTAATGTATATTAAGTTATTAAGTTATGTATGACTCTTTAAAGGAGCCATCCAATAGCTCCATAAAATTTCTGTCATTTTATATTTCGATTCACATGTAAATCTGTGGCTTTCAAGATTTTGTCATTTAAGTTAAACTACATAAATAAAGTGTTAAGTAATATATATGTATATAATATAAAAAAAATTATAAAGTAAATAATGATCACATTTTAAAATTTGATTATTAGTAAAAATAAATATTTTAAAACTAATAAACTATATATTTTAGTATATCGATTGGATAAATGTAATGGATAATAAAAAAAAAATTGCAACATAATTTTCTATATTTATGTAATGTTAATATATAATTTATGAGTGTGAATTATATTTAATTAGTTTCGGTATTTACTATTATATAATAAAATAGTTATAGAATATAATTATATTTTAGTTAATGTAAACTAGTACGTGTCCCGTACGATGAATAGTGAAATGATATTACGATTGTATTTAAATTAAATATATACATAACATGAATCATGATTTACTCATTTTTTTCAATATCGGATCGAACAAGTCATTCGGTGTGATGGACTGAGAATCTTTTAATTGATCGGTCTAGTTCCCTGGGCTAAACGTTTGATAGCGAACTGGTCAACACCAGATTGGTCGGAAAGGTAGGATCAGTACGATTTCTTAATAATTGATCTTACATTTAAAATTATTTAAGTATAAATAAAAATAATTGTTTAAATAAAATAGCGATTTACAAATTATTTATCAATTAGGTTAAACAATTAAAAACTTTAAATTGTTTAGATCAAATTAATATTTTTTCTATAAATTAAATATAAAAAATACTATATATATATTTAAATATTAATAAATTAAATTTTTGTTCAACCAATAATTCACTTGAATAAATAACTTGAGATGTTCGATGATTCTCAGAATCTTTGATTTACTAAACAATAATAAAAGTTCTAATATAATGATATATAAATATCCATAAATCATTGGACATGTTGTTATAAAAGTATTCTTAAATGATTATTTGGAGTTTGGACTACATTACATTTATCGTAATAAATTTTTCTTAATAATAAATTTATATATAATTTCAATAATTGATTTTGTCTGGCCAAATTTTTATAATAATAACTTGGTTATGCGGGATCAACCCGAGTTGTGTATGCTTTTTGACTATTTGAACATGACCTAAATTAATTCAATCAACGTGGTAAGTAATCTAACTTTATCACATGATTGATTCAAATAATTTTTCTTAAATATATTTAATTTTATGAAATAAAAAATATTTTATTACTCATGTGGTAAATGTTTATAACAAATGACAATATATTAAGATGAATAATTATATATCTAAAGATAAATTAATTATATCAAACTTTATGCATATTCATAAAACAATTAACATAACAAATTTAGAAAATTTAAAATTAATTGATTGATTATGCAATTGACACGATGACGTGATACCATCTATATATTATTTTATATATTGTTAAATAATTATTTATAATTAATTTGAATAATCTTACAATACTATCTATATCTATATCTATATATATAAAGACCCAACCTAGTTACCAAAAATAGTAACAAGAAAAGTCAACCAANCAATATTTATAACATCTCAATATTTATTTTATATATTCGATATAATATTTATTTTATATATTTGATATAAATCTTGTCATCTTTTATAGATTTTTCATCTTCTCTCAACAAATTTAGCGTGAGATAGATAATATTTTATATAGTTTTATACATATTGTTTAGAATTTTTTTTTTTTTACACATTCTATCTATATTACATTTACATATACAACATACATATATATATATGTCAAATTTAAATTATTTAGATATTTTTTTCTAAAAATAATTTAGAAAATTTTAGGTGACTTCACATCTTTTTAAATAGTTTTAGACATGTCTTCTTTACAAAATAATTTAATAAATTTTTAGACGACTTCACATATTTCAACAATGATATATCAAATTTTAGGTACTTTTAATATTTTAAATATACATTTTTTATTTTTTTATATAAGATAATTTTGTATTGTTTACAGCTGATATACGACAAATTATATCATATATTAACTCCACATCTTTAATTTATAATTATTGTTAATATTGTGTACCATCATCTTTAGTTTATAACGTTGTGTACCATCATCTTTAATTTATAATTATTAACTAATATTTTTTATCATCATTTTTAATTTATAATTATTATTTAATATAGCTTACCCGTGCATCGTACGTGCTACACACTAGTATACATAAAATGATATTCGTATTTAACATAAATACTATAGGAAAAACTTGAAAAGCATTAATTATTAACTTAATGTAGTATTTATGTTAAATACTAAAAAATGATATTCATATTTATATATATATATATAATGATATATATATATAATGATATTCGTATTTATATATATATATAATGATATTCGTATTTAACATAAACACTAGTATACATAAAATGATATTCGTATATATATATATATATATATATGTGTATATATATATATATATATATATATATATATATAGAGAGAGAGAGAGAGAGAGAGAGAGAGTAGATAGTGAAAGAAATAAGAATGGTTATAGACCATTGGATCCATCAAGTTAATGGTCATGATCAAGTCAAACTTCAATAAGTAATGGTCAATCATTAATGGCATTCTGGTAATTATTAGAATTATTGTGGTCAAATATGTGCATTTGACCAATAATTAAGGGTATATTAGTCATTACCCTATTTTCCATCTCAACTAGTGGGACCCACCCCAATACCATCCGAATTATTTATTTATTTAAAAATAAAAAAAATCAGTGGACAAAAATGAAAAAAGAAAAAAAGGAGTGGAAAAAAATCAAAAGGCCGTATTCAAAGAATACGTTTTTTCTTAAAAAACGAATTCGAGGAATACGTTTTTCATTGTAGAACGTATTTCACGAATACGGTTTCTTAAATATTTATTAATTAACATAATTAATATAATTAAGTTAATTAAATTAAGTAAAAACGTATAGCCGGAATACGTTTCAAGTCAAGAAAACAAAAAACGTATTATTGCAATACGTTTTATAATTAAAATTAATTTCACGAGTTTTTTTTTTAATTATAAAACGTATTCTTGAAATACGTTTTTTTAAATAAAATTAATTTTAAAATTATTAAAAAAAAAAATTCTGGAGAAAATAATTTTGAAAATATAAAACGTATTTTGCAAATACGTTTTTCCAAATATAAAACGTATTATGCAAATACTTTTTTTTTGTAAAATCAATTTTCCCCCAAAAAATAATTTTTCCCTAATTTTTCCCTAATTCTACATAAAACGTATTCCTAGAATACGTTTTTCTCTGCAGAAAAATGCAAAAAAAATTTTTGGATTCATTTCACAACCTGTTCAACAAATCACAACCTGTTCAACCAACTAATATGAATCAACTCTCCCAAAATAATCCAACATACACTATATACAAAAAGTCAACCACAATAATTTACTCTAAACACAAATATCAGTATACAGAATGAAAAAAAAAATATGTTCACAAAATTCCCTGAATACAACACAAACTAATTAGGAGTGTATCGATTCGTAGGATTGCGCTGTCGGTGGCTGATCTGACGTTGTGGTCGTCGTGAAGAAGGCGATGCTGTGGGCGTGACAGGTTCTTCATCTTCTTGTTCTTCTTCACCTGAGTAAATCATTTTTCTAAATATCACAATAAATAAATAAATAAAATAAATAAAATCATTTTTGTGTTAAGTTTAAAATTTTCACCTTCTTCTTCTTCCTGAGGCCCGGTGTCGGCAGCGGGTAGGCGGTATCGTCATCTTCTACCTCCACCAACGTTGGCAGCAGGTTGATGCCTCGCCCGGTGTGACTGCGTTCTCTGGGATCGGATGTAGCTCTCCTGCGATAAAACTTGGCTCGACGACGTCCCTTGTGCGACCTCTCCGCCTCCGACAGTCAGAGAACTGTATAGAAGGCTCTTGGCCTGTTGGAATGCCGTCAACATATCTGGATGGAGTGTATGATATAGGTGCTCCACGTTAGATAACGTGTGATAAGCTCCCTCCATGGCGGTAGACTGAAAATTAAATTCAAAGTCAATTAGAGCATCTCTAATGCATTCTTTTGAAAGGGTAAAAAGTTATCCACCTAATCTAGATAGAAAGTGTGTGAATAATATATCCTCCAATGCATTAGATTATGGGTCCGTTCATGCTTATGTGTAAAAAATTAATGTTAACATTGTCAAGCTCACTTTCTAATTTCTCACATTCTTTCTAACATGATGACTCATCATTTTGATAATTATTTGACACAAATTTTGAGCTTTTCATAAACTTGGAAAAATCCCACCCTTACATTTATCCAATAAAACATTTGAGAATTTATTTGAATACAGTATAATTATTTGATGAGTTACAACTAAAATTTAAAAAATTTATCAATAATAATGTCCTTAAAAGTAAAATATTATGTTCATGATATTTGTTTGTTGAGTTATTGCAATTTTAATATTTTGTTGTTTTATTTTGAACCAATT